ACTTAAGTAGAAGTCTTACTTAAGCCTTCTGAAAACTTAGGATAGATGTGTTTTGTGTTGTTGCACATTAAGAAAGTTACTGAAGCTGTGATTCCTGTTTCTTATTTGTGCAATTGTGCAAACTGAAATGTACACAGCCAGTGCTCTTCTGTGCTGTTCTTCCCTTGAAGAGAATTTCCCTAACTGGTTTGACTGTTCTTATCCATGACCACCTGCTATTGAAGTTAAGCAGATGATTATAGTGACGTATTTGCTGTTCAGGAAAAAATAAATAACTTTTTGTAGCCCTAATTCTCATGCTATTTTATATTCAGCTGTAACAATCCCACTTGTGTTTGTTTTGTATGGGAAAAAATATTATTTATATTAATTTAGCTATTGTGCAGAGGTTCTGCTGAGGGATGGCACTCAAAAAAAAAAAATCTGCCTGGGATTTAGGTGAATTCTTTCCATATAGTGACTGAAATATTTCTCTGTATTCTGACATCTTACAGCCTTTTGCATTACTTAGTAAATTCAGATGGTACGGAAGTTATTACCACTTAGAGCAAATGCAAGTTCAGGCAATCCAGCTAAGTTTGACAAAATTTAATAGTCTTGAGACTGGGGACTTTCAGCAGTGGACAGTCAAAATACTCTAAATCAATTGAGCAAAAACCCATGTAGCACTCACAGAAGCTAGTATGCAGAACATTGATATTCCAAGTCTTAAATCTGTTGATACAGAATTGACAGTGACTCTGTAGTGCCATCAGATACAGTAGCAAAGCATGAAGTGTTGGCTAATGCTTATGCGAATGGAAGCCTGATAAAAAGGCAGTTCAATCAAAACTAACAGTAAGTCACTGTAACTTCCCTGTACCTTATCTACACAAATCTCAGCATTGTACCATGTAAGTATCCTGAGGCTTAATGTTCTGTCATTCATGGTAGTCTGTTAATGGCTTCCAAAGTGGCTGGACTGATCAGTTCACTGCCTCTGTGTATGTGGTACTTGCTTCTCTTTAAGACAACTAGTATGGTTACATATGTCATTCTGATTTAAATTGTGTACTTCAGTGTTCTGTATGTGAAAGCCACAAAGCTGGGTATCAAGAACCTTTGTCTCTAGAACAGAAAATACAATAGCTCGTCCTATATAGCGCAGCTCCTAGACTTACTGGTGTTTAGTTCCTGGAAATTAAGAATGTCACTGATGTAGATGCTATTGAAGTTTTAAAACTGGTACTTGTACCTGAAAAATGTTACAAATCAAATTTAAAATCAAAGTAACTTCCCATTCTTGCTCTTTGACATGATGATGTGAACTTCTTGTTTCTTAGGTAAGGGAGGTATTCTCACACATTGATATGGACCAGCTGCTGGGGCCTGAGTGGGACCTTTACCTTATGACCATCATCGCCTTGCTTCTGGGAACAATTATAGCTTACAGACAAAGGCAGCATCAGGCAATTCCCAGACCAGCAGGACTGCGGCCAGCTGTGCCTCAACAAGAACCACCACCAGAGCATCAACCACCACAATAGCAACAGGAGCCTCAGTGAAAGAACTGGATTTTTCCAAAAGGAACAATTTTCATTGTGATTTAGGACTTTGGATCAATGGTCCCTCCCCCAAAAGAGGCGCAAAGAAGTTTAAAAAAAAAAAAAAGTCTGAAAGCTGCTTAGAACGATGCCTTTTTTCAGGGATAAGAAAATTCTTTTGAAACTGATTTGAATGTTATTTCAGTGCCAATGGAATAACACTATGGCTTTTTTCATGGAAACACAAGAGTGCTACTACAAAAATGTTGCCTGCTGTATCTAGTTCCTCTTTATTCAGTCCTTTTCATCTCCTAAAGAGAGCAGAACGCTAGCATTGGAAGGTTTTTGCCTGCTTGATAGCAGTTGTCCTATATAAAAGTAATAACAGTAATAATTTTATGGCCAATTTAAGTCCAAGAAGCTGAAATATGTTCAAACTCTAAAGAGACTAGAGCTGTATGAACTTAAATTCTGATCTGCATCCCAAGTATTTCTACAGTCCTTATTTCGTTATTTCTTAGTATTTCGTACACTTTGGTCTTTCATGCTGTCTTGGATGGTTTAACGTGGATTACTTATAAACTCTGTAAAACTAAGCCAGCAAACATGCCACTCTCCATTTGTGCTTTTTTGTTTTGAGTATTTTCCTCCATTCCCCTTAGACTAGACAGTTCTCAGCAGACAGTATAGAGCCCAGGAGGCAGAGTGGGACAGATTGGGTCTGTAAAGCTCATCAGTTGAAAACTATCCACATAGTGCCCAGATCTTGCATCCTTCTCAAACGTGTTTTTTTTTGTTGGAGGCTGTGTACTTTGCAATACTTCATGACATAAAAACAAATTGGTAGTGTTCCTGTTGTTTATACTTGCTCTTATGAAGGGGCTGAATCTAGACTGCAGAAAGCACCAGTATTATTGTGGACGCTGAAGAAAGGACAGAGCCAGAAGTCTCAGTGAGTTACCTTATATTTTTTGTTTGTTTGTTTTTAGAGGTGGAAGTTCTGTATGTAATTTTCAACAGTTCTGTAAGTGATCTACGCTGCAAGAAGGAAACATATGTGGTATCTCATACATGCATTTGTTTAATATATCTACAAAAAAGGGCCCCAAAGATGCATGCTCTCTACAAAAGGGCATGGGCTTATGCCAGTGATGCTACTCCATCACGGAGAAAAATCATGTTAGATTACAGCAGTGCTCTGGCTGTCGCCAACCTCTCTTGTACCTCGCATACATGAGAGAGTCAAAGTAACATCTCTGGCTGTGCCATCTTGAGGATCCCTTGTAACAAGAAAACCCAAAGAGAAAGAAGACTAATGGTTTATGGCTTCTTGATACCACCAGGTCACTGCAAGGGCCTTTTTAATGAGTGTAAAGAATACAACCTGTGGACTGATGTTCTTAGACTGCAAGAAGAGTCTTCATTTAGTAATGATTTTCATTGAACTATAATTTTGGGGGCTGAGGGTGGGAAGCAGTGGGGCAGTAGCTTAGAGGCAAGAAATGCAGAAGTTTCTGTTCTTACTTACCAGTAGCAGTTAAATATTTGTTTCTGTACTAGCATTAAACCCTCTGAATATGCTATCTTTAAAGCTGAATGAAATACAAATGAGGAGGCTTTAGCTGCTTTCTGACAAAAGCTGTTGTGTTTAAAGCGTTAAGGGTGTCCTTTCATGCAAATATTTTTCTAGTGGATTGGCAGCAACGTATCAATATGCTTTATTTAGAATTGAGATTTTTATATGGTTTTGTACTTAGCACATTTGTGAAGAGACAGTTGCACAATAGATCTGTAGGTTGGGAAAGAAGATAAGCAATCCACTTTTGTAAACTGAAATGTCATGGATGACTAGTATTAAAATACAGGTAGAACTTCTCAGTACTTCAAAATGCTTATGCTGGTTATGTGAAGACAAATCTTTCATTTTAGTTTGGAGGGTGGCAGCATGTGATAGAGGAATGTCTTGTTCAGTCTTAATCATCATTAGCAGATGGAACAGTATTGAACTTAAATGTAGTGTCTAAAATGTACAGCACTCCCCAGCTGCATTTCTAAGATATCTGTGACTTCTGAACACTCCCTCTGAAGTATTTTTGCCTCTGTCACTTAATAGCTCTTTTTAGCTTGGCATGAATAAATTAAAAATTATATGGAAAATGTTTTTCAGTTAAATACCATTGGTTCATTGATATTGGTCTCTTAGGATGTTTAACAATTTTGTTACTGCATTATTAATATGTTTTGGTTGTTTGATCTATTAGAACTAAATTCTAAAAGCTCTATCCTATTTGCATGAGAATCTCTCATCATTGCTGCTATGTGACAGTCATAGCTGACTTTCACTGAACCTGATGCGTTTTTACATCCAAGAAATTGGCAGAGAAGAAAACGATCAAAGATCAGCAAATTATTTCACTTTAAATAACTGTTTTTTGAAGAAGCAATAAGGAAGTCTTTCTTTCTCCTGCTTTTTTCCCTTCCACCAAATTACTACCACTACCTTTTTCAGATGACATTCATTTGAATGAAGTGGTAGTAGTACTTACCATAAGTAATGGTGAGTTAACTCAGGGATTAAAGGAATGAATAAGTTTTCTAAATGAGTTGTAGACAACACGACTTAAGTTTTGTGACAATCCCTTGCTACTCTGTTCTGAAACTTGCATTTCGAGGGAAGTTATTTAACTCTTACTAGCAATATCTTTCTTGTGCACTCAGTTTATCAAGCAGCTTTTTTCCTAAAGGAGCTGGGTTGCTCAGTTTACTGCAGTGAAATACTATTCCCTTTTGGTAGCACACAGGTTGTCTTACAGTTTATATGCAGGAGTATTTTAGAAGGGAAACTTGATTTAAGAGAAGCCTTTCTGGGTATGTTCAGCATGCTTTGAATGGAAAAATTGTATTCTTTGTCTGTAGTAACGTAAGCCAGAACCTGCCTATTTGACCTTCCTGGACACATGCTCTTCTCTCCCTGCATGGAGAATGGAACTACAGAGCAGTAACTGTTGTTGGAAGTTTTATATGTAGGAAAGCTGTGGAAAGATACAGGGGAAAACATTGTTCTGCATCTCAAATTATTAATCAAACACACTAGCTGTTCTCGCTGGTTGAAAGAAACGCTGAACTATTGAGAAAACAGAATTCTAGTTCATCACTCTGGTGAAACTTGTCCCAGAGCTGTCTGTTGAAAGAATTTTCCTTACTTTGTATTGCCCATCATTGGACAATGTAATGGAAGATAAGGCCTTTGATACAGACACCCCAATGAGACTCTTACGAAACAGTTTTACTCACTCTTTAGTCATCTTCCATAAGTCAGCTGCTCTTATTAAAGTAAAAAAAAAAAACCAAACCAAACAAAGAAACCCCCTATCAAAAGTTACTCTTTTTGGAGAAGAACATAAAAACATGGATTGCGAAAGGATTTTTTAAGACTATGCATTATCCAGTTTCCACCTATTATATGCTAGTTTTGGCCTATAAAAGGGGATCACACTCACCTTTGCAAGTTGCTTCCTTTTTAGATAGGCAACAATGAACTGAAATTCTATTTTTGTTTCAGAGGATATTAAACTAAAAAGATTTAGTTTGATTTGAACTACTGCAAATGGATATGGCAAATAGGGACTATTGGGGGAACCCTTTGTTTTTATCAGCTGCAGTTCTTTAAAGGGTCTTGTAGGAGTTTTGTAAATTTATTTTGTATTTAAAATCAGTATAAAGGCTGGTCAAATGTAATATAATTGTGTAAACAAATTCTGTTAATAGAAAGATGTACAGATTCATTTTGTACTGTATCTTTAATCTTGTGAAATAAAGATACCACCTGTGTGGTTACCCTCAGTGTTCACAGTGGTTATGATACCAGAGGATGTCAGTTGTTAGTAGAATGCACTGATACATGCCACTGCTAAATGCATCTGTTCCTCTAAGGGTACTTGCACTTCCTTCACTTCTATTCCTCTTCAAAAAAATAAATCTCTTTATTTAGGAGGGGCATAGAAAGGGGAATGGGAAAATACGCATTTTATCTTCAGCTGTGCTAGAAACTTGCCCTCTGTGTGTGTGTATGTGTGTGACCCTTTCTTCAGTGTATAAACATCTGTACCGTGCGTGGCAGACGGAGAACTGCTGCGCGATGCGAAAGTAATGGCCAGTAATGTTAATTATTATTGCATTGTCAATACTAAACCAGGAATATTACAGTGACTAGAAACAGATACTGGGGGAGGGACTACTAACTCCAAGCTGACAAGTTTGCTTGCTTTTCAGGCGTTTTTCAGTGCACTCATCCCTTCAGGCTCCACCTGTTGAGATTCTGGATCCTCCCTTGTGAATGTATTGAGCTGGTTTGCTTTCCAATGTGCTTATTAATGTGGAAGACAACTTCAGGGAGAGAAGGAAAGTAAGGAGCGTGAGGGAGCAATGATAACTGCTGCAGAAGGCATCAATAGATGAACTGTCTTGGGTATCAGCCCCAGTTACATAGTTTTCTGGAGTATTTGGAGGCTTCCCATGTTGTCTGTTGCTGCCAAATAGCACTTGTTGCAGGTAGGAAACAACTGCTGGTACTAAAACCAGCTTGAGTCTGACAGATTGTAGCTCAAGCTTAGTGAGGTCATCCCCCAACTTCCAAAAGAGCCCGTGGCTTGAGATGCAATTGCTGATGTGCTCAAGTGAGGTGGGGTCAGAAGTGTCGATACCTTACTGTACTTGTAGCCTGTAGTCAATAGGGAGTTGTTTTCTGTGGTGGGAATAGAGTACCAGGTTATACCTGGTAAATGATGGTGGGGCGGGGGGTTAAAGGAAGAGCCACAGAGTAATGTTCATTGAAAACGAGTATATTTGTTTTGGTTTCCTGGCTTGCCTGGTTTTGTTTGGTTTTTTATGTGGCTTTATTCTCCTCAGTCTAAGACTAAAACATTTCATTTAAAATTAAAATATTAATAGAAAGTATAGTTTGTAAACCTGCAACACTTGTTTAATTATAATGTGTTATTTGGTGTAATGGCAAAATGTTCTTCCTCATCTCTAACTGATCATGAGCTTAATGGCATTTCTGAATCCTGACTTTAATTCCTGCTTTTATAAAGAATTATTGAGGAAAAAAGTCACTCCAGTTGCAAAAAAAAAAATCAGAAGACTAAATGACTTCTTTCAAAGCTAAGCTGAGGGAGGCCAGTGTACCGTCTATCCAGGTAATGAATACTTTAACATCTAGTCTTAATTTTCATTTTCAGAAAGGGAAATAAGTGGGGATAGAGCACCAGTGTAGATACATTTCAGGTAGCAAGAGGTAAATGTGATTTAACTTGTACAGCACAGTAGAAGAACACTTCTATTTCTCCAATTCTGCTCTCAGGCATTTTCCGTATTTCCTTCCTTTTTTTCTACACTTATTTTTCTTCATACTCGTCCTTCCTCCTAAAGGCAGGCATAAACTGTACTGTAAAATTAGATGTTCCAGTTCCCATCTGTTATTTATGCATGTGGCTCCATTTCTGTACAAGATCCATACTAATTTTTTCCTCTTTTTATTGCTTCTAATTAGCTGCTGCAAAAAAATTTGCATCTGGGGTGTATGTGAGCAACCCCAAGGGGGCATCGGATATTAAATGGTGACTCAGACTTCTTAAAAAAATTTAGGTCTCAAAGAAGAAAGAATCAACTTCCATGCTTTCAGTCATTGTCACATCATGGGAGGATGTGTGTTTATGTGTGTGTGTATATATACACACACATGTGCATATACATTGAGAGAGAAAATAGTGTTTGGTTACAGGAGCTTCAGAAACTTACCAAAATGAAATAATCCAGTACTCTTATATGATTCTCTCATATTGGTAGAGCTGTATGAGAGAATTAAAAACCACTGTGGCTTTTGGAAAGACTCTGTAAAGAATTACCTTCCCTTGACTGTTAAAGTTTTTTTAATGTGTATATCCATCAACCTGCTGTCATACTAATCTGTTTAGCAACATCTTTTGGAATATTAAGTACAGATAAAATGTGGACGAGTTGGGCACAGCATCCAGGACAGTGGCTACTTCTGCAAGGTTAAATCCAGAAGTTCTTAGAGTACAAATTCTTCCCCACTAAAGCAGGTGAAAATGTTCAGCAAGAGGTAATGAAGATTTCTTTTAAAATCACTTTTTCATTGAGACCATCTGGTGAAATATTTGAGCTATCCAAGTAACTTGAAATCTGTATTTTACAGTATTTGTTTCTGTCCAATCTTACTTTAAAGTTTGGTAGGCTCTGGACTGGACTTTGCTATATACTGAAATTCCATTAATTAGTGGCATTTTAGGAGCTTCTAAATAAGGTTGGGTTTTTGGTTTTTTTTTTTTTTAACTTGGAAAGTTTCCCCAGACCTATTCAACAGCAATTTTAAAGGGAAAGCTTACTTGCATTACTAGTGTTTAAAAATGGGTATGTGGGGGGAAAAAAAAAAAATCAAATACACTTCATAGGCTTTAAAGTCAATATTATAGCTGATGTTAAAACTACCAAAGAAATATGTGGCATGTTCCAGTGGAGGCTTATAACTTTGGATTATAAAAAGGATACTTGGAGAATCATCCAGCTTTGAATTCAAAGGCTAAAGGCCTGAAAAATCTCCACGTTTGAGTTTTCCAGTAGCTGATTACCTTTGTTACCGATGCTGTGAGATCAAGAGGACTTTGAGTTAATTCTTTTCAGGTTGTATTTAGTTTCATCTCTGGTTCTTTTCACATTGATTATAGAACTGGACAGTCCATTAGGAAGAACAGCCACACCAAAATATGTATATATTTTATTGTGGAATCCAGAGTGTAATGTTAAATGTTCATCTGTAATTGGATAACTAAAGGATTTCATATCTCTTAGAAATAATTTTGAGCCTGACTTGATTGTTGAAATCTGGGAAGCATTGCACAGAAGGGAGGTGACTATAGTAAGAGAATTCAGACCCAGTGAGATAAATGTGGTGATCTCACTGCATGCAGCTGTGTTGGCTTTTTCTGCCTCTTTGCTAAACAAACAGCCTGAGTTTCCTACTAGGAGTCTGGACTGTCACTCTGTGGAAGGCAAAGGGTGCAAGTAGGTAGGAACTTCTCAAAACAGAGCAAGAAAGGTGGTTTTCTTCATTAATGTATTCTCTCTCAACTAACAAACGTGTTAGTGAATGTTGTATATTAACTATGTTTACCTACTCTGATATCTTGCATACTCACTGAAAAGCTCCACAGAGATACAAAAAACACTTCAATTTTTTTTGCACATGTAAAAATTTCTTTCTGGTACTGTTTTGTTTTGGGGCCCGATTACTACGTTTGAGTTTACAAGCCCCCAAAAGTTTGCTCTTTGCTACATTTGTCATTCTTAGTTCAGCTCCAAAAGATAGATTGATAGGAAATACTTCTAAATGTTTCTGGTGATACTAGTTCAGCATCATAAAACACAGCTGTCATATTTAGAGTAAACAGCTTGCAAGTAATCCTTTGGCTGAAAACTGAAAAGCTCTATGGTAAATACTGAAAACAAACAGAAAAGTAAACTAAAAATAAATCCCCTTTTTTAAAATGTAAAATCTAGTGTCTCAGTCCTCTCTTTGGTACTGTGAAAGGTGCTAGAACAAAAGATAGACTGTGTCAATTTAAAATACTATTCCTTATCTAAACACAACAAATGAAATATTGTTTTCCAGTGTCTCCTCGGGATTTCCAGATTCCAAATCATACGACTTTCTTGCAGCTGCAGAAAAGGAAGTTTTCAAATTACATAAATGAACATGTTTGATAAGTCATTAACTCTCCCTGTGCTGCTTATATTAAGCATTTGATGCTTCCAAATTTTTCTGCTAGCCATAATACTCCTAGCAGTGCTATTCTACAGATTCTTCACTGGCACTAATCACAGGAGGAACATGCTCTGCAGCTACTCATTCCTTTGGTTTGCTGCTACATGGCAAAACAAAGGTGCTTGGACACCTGAGCAATTCCTTTCTGTTGGGAAAGTGCCCAGTCAATAGATGGGAAATGAAGGTGATGGCCTGCTGTGCTGGAAACAGCGCATTTGTCCCAGAGCTATTGGTTTTAGCGTAATCATGCCATAACCAAGACACAATAACACAATTCTCTCCTGAAGTACGATCTTTCAGGCTAGCCTGTGTCGCCTGAAGCAAAGACTGTTCACCTGCATCCACATGTCTACAAGGTAAGGAAGTTAAGCAAACACTCTTTTGGCACAACACGTTTATTTTCTCTTACTGCTCCTTGTGTTGTGTCAATATCAACCCACGGGCTGAGGAGCATGCATGAAGAAACGCTCCTGTGAGGCTGTACTTTGTGGTATGGTATAAAGAGGTATGTGAAATACAGACTTGCTTAATTGTGGAAGCAGGTCCAGGTGGGTAAAAAAATTCTGGAAGTGTTCCTTCACACTTCTGAATTGGGCCTCTGTTGGGATACCGCTAAGCGTTAAATCACACCTCTTCATTTAATACAATGAAATAAATTTAATTCTGTTAACTGATGAATTCAGTTAAATCTGCAGTAAAGCTTGCATGAGAATCGTTTTTTTATATTGGAATAAAATAGCATAATTAAGAGTTTTCCAAGATGTAATGAATTATTAATATCATCTTTATAATGAAATATTAACATTAAGAACCCTAATTATCTGTCAAGTTGAAAGAACAAAAAGTCAGGTGATGTGTCTATTCAAAATAAATTAGAATGGGGATCACTCTAGCCTTCAGTTACTTGGTACATGTGTTTATAGTTGTGATCTCATGTGCTCTAACCCTGTAGAGTCTCATCAGAAATAAATTTTCAACATAGGTCAGAATACTAGCCATAGACTGCTGTATTTTTATGGTTAATATGCAACATTATGTCATATTCTAGAAAATGGAAGGACATAATCTTTGTTCTCGAAACCCAAACTATTTGAAGTAGGCAAACCAGACTCTCTGGAGTGTGGGTTGTTTTTTTTTTTTTTTTTCTTCTCTCCTTACTTTGGGGCAAAAAGTTCAAGTGTGTTCTAACTTCTCCTTCTATTGTATGAATAGCCATTTCAAACCAGAAATTTGATGTGTAATTATTCAAATGGAGTAATTTCATTTCTGATTCTCTGATGTAATAGAACGTTTCAGCAGAAGAGACCTACGACGACCACCTAGTCCAACTGCCTGACCGCTTCAGGGCTGGCCAAAAGTGTCCTCTGTGTTTCTAATTCTGAGAAGGCTCAGGATAAACATAAGAACCTGTAACAGGTATGTTACCTGCTAGTCCTTCCATTCTAGATCTTACTAGTAAAACTATTTTTGGAAACAAAAAAGTAAAAATTTCTTATAAGTCCAAATAGAACACTGGTATTAAGAAGAGCTTTCTGATGCTGTGGTAATGGTGTAATAACTTGCATGGAATAAATGGTTTAAGAGAAGCAAATGTTCTAAACCATCTTCTCCCCCCCCCTCCCCTCCCCCCTTTCCCTATTTTAAAAGGAGTTGAATACAGGAACTTCAATTTACTTAATATCAGAAAATGTAATTGGTGCTAGAGCCAGCTTAAGCCTGTTAATCAATCTACATAAAAGAGGGAAAAGTGCTAAAAAAGCAATATATTATATGCAAGCCTTTTTCCTTTAATGATTTTTTTAAAATGAAGAAACATCCCTTTCCCCAACCTTTAAACCATCTAAAGGCTATCAGAAAACACACCTGGTGTTGAGTCTTGATTCCAACCTGACTGATGAAATGTCACGCTGTGTGCTTGAGGAACGCAAGATACGGCAGGCCCCTGCCACTGTTGGAGTCGGCGTTTGTAGCTGCCTTTGCGACTACAGGCTCATAGCACTGTTGGGAAAAGTTACCCTGTAATGGCTGATCCCAATGCTGTTATTCAGAAAACGAACGATGGAAAAAGAAGAGAGATGTTCAGGACTTGACCAAAACTGGGAAAGAATTGACAGCCTTGGAGGTTTTTTTTCCTAGTCAGGATCTCTTCCAAGCCAGTACATCAGAGGTCAGTGATGTTATTCTGGATCCTGGATTTATTAAATATGGGGAATATAGAGGGGACAAAAAATTGGAAAATTAATCTGTAGTTCTTCTGGCTCATAAAATAATTATGAGAAGAAACAAAGACACCGGTTGTACCTGAGCAGAACTATCCTGTGTCCTTGTAGTAGTTAACCTTTACAGTTAGGTGTGGCTACCAGCCCAAATCCTTCTTGGCCCAAACCCGCCTTGGCCCATAGGCCCACATTTTTTATGACTAGTTTTGTTTGAGAAATCAACCTTTTATACTGCCGGATAAGACTATGCATGATCTGCAAGTACTGTTTGGAAGTGTTTTGAGTTGTGTGTTATTTTCTCCCAACCACCTCTAGCTGGCACTCGTGTCAATGTTTTGTGCCAGAGGAGATTTCCCCCCCACCAGCCATACCACGGGGGCTTTGGGGTTTTGTTTGAGTGGCAGTGTAGGTTTTAATGTATGTATGTACCAACAGTAACTGTTCAAACATCTTTGAAAGCTCCTTCAAGGCAAAATCAGGTGAACCAGATATGCTAAACAGCCAAGCATAACGTTAGTTACCATAATTGCGTGGTTATCTTGCACTTTCCGTTTGAGATTTTCCCAGTGTTTTACAAGAGCACTTTAAAACCTGTTAGTTCACCTGGAGAGGAGTTAAACTTGTGAAATGGTTTTTGGGGTTGGTTTTTTTGAGGGTTTGGTTGGGGTTGTTTTTTTACAGTCAGTCCCACCTACTAATTAAGGCTGTTATGATAATGTTCAGTGCAAACGTTAAGTTTATTAACATTTCTCAGCTTGCAATGCTCGATTTTCTAGGAAGTTGGTTGGGGACTTAATACTTCCTCAGCTCTCCAGAGTCCTCCTCTGAATCCGCTCGTGGGTGCGTAGGTACGCATCCGGGCTGACGTTTGTATGGGGTGCACGTGTTCATTTTCCATAACATGCCTTCCATCGGAAGCCTTGAAATTGCAGGGGGGTAAGAAATTAAAGCCTCCCTAAATCCATTTGCCTATGCAAATTGCAATCTGAAGTCTTTAAAGATAAAAGCAGAAATAAGATTAATATTTTAGATTTGTATTATTAGGTCTGTAATAACACTACAGCTGAACAGCTTAGAGCCAATTTGGTTCACAGACATTGCAGTTAACTTTATTAGTCCCGAATAATACAGACTATGGGGATGTTTGCTGGTGTGCAAAATTGGTCGGGGTCTAAGAAAAGGATTGAGACACCAAATAATTTGTATTGGAAGTGGGGGCACAAAATCATCCGTTGCAAATACATATGGTCGTACCTCAGCACTTAAGAATGCCAGCTGAATGACCCCGAGCGGAATGATTTTCGCACTATCGCTTTTTACCCACACGTTTGTATTTATTTTTGCCTTTCTGTAAGGGGCGGCTGCCCCTCAGCCAGGAAAGCGCCTCCACTTCGAACCGCGATTAAAAGCGGGCCCTGGAAACGCTTCAGTGGCTTCGCTCC